CTCCTGCTGCCCTTCCTGCTGCAGCCAAAGGGACTGGTGGGGCGAGAGCCGGGATCAGGCCGCAGGGAGGCCAAATGCCAAGGGATGCCCCGAAGGCCCTGTCAACCTTGGGAATGGCTGGAGGCAGGATGTGGGGAGAAGGTTTTGGAGCTGGAGGGGGTGATGTTTAAGGCTTTCAGCCTCCAGAAGCTCCAGGTTTTCTTCCCACCCTGTATTGCATTGCCCTGGGCCGTGGAAGAGCCCAAAGGCCAGTGAGGGATCCTTGCCCTGCCCGGATTCCTGCTGCTGGCAGCGGGCACGGGCCCATGTCCCCCACTTGAGGGGACACATGGAGTGGGCAGCACAGGCTGTGTTGGGGAGGGGTCGGGGGCCTTTGGTGTGAGGGTGCTGGTTCTGGGGTACCATGGGCCCCATGGGTGCAGGGTCCTGGAGGGGGTGCAGGGTGTGGGAACCGTGGATGCTGCAGAGAGTGCCGGGGGATGCGATGCTGGGAGGGGCAGGGCTGGGAGATCCCGGGGCTGTGGGAGCAGGGGATGGGCAAGGGGGAGTCGCTGGACACTCATGAACCTCAGCTCAGCCCCGTTCTTATTAGAAAAGAAGAAAAAATAGAAAGTTCTAAAGAAAGGGAAAAAATGTTTATTGGTGTATCAAGAATTCATGGGGAAAAATGATCCAGTTGTGCTCAGGTCCTTTGCAAGGATCAAAGGACAGAGACTGTAAACCCAGTTCTTATGAGGTGTGGAAGCCCTGTGTTTCCTGACAGCCCAGTCCTGGGGACATCCCGCTGCCCGTGCTGGGGACAGCAGCCCCGTGGGCTGCCAGGGTGGGCCGTGGTGGGGAAGGGTGGATGGGAGCTGTGCTGCCCCGGCCACTGCGGCATTGTGGGGCTCAGGGTGACCCGTTGCTCTTCTTGTGTCCTACTCCTTTTCCTGCCAGGGCTGAATGGTCTCCCCACCATCGCTGCTCTCCCAGGCAAGGCATCCCAGGGGTTTAATGCAGACTGAGTGAGAAACCTCACTGTCTTTCTGCAGAGTCATAACACTAATGAAAGAAAGCTGAGCTCCTGGTAGAAGTCCTGAGCTGGATCACTTTGGATTTCAGGCTTTAGTTTTTATCAGGGTTTAATTAGAATCAAGTTCCCTGGGTTTTAGCGGGCACATCAAGCTTTAATTTTTCTCAGAAAGGAGCTGCTCAAGGTGGAAGCTCAATGCTCTGATCGTGGCTGGGTTCATGTGAGGATGGTGGGACAGAGCTGCTGAGGGTTCCCTTGGGGACATGAGCACGTGTGATGTGGTGTTTGGGGTTGTGTGGGTGGTTTTTCACCAGCACAACTGAGCTCTGTGCCTGGGCTGGGCATCCCTGAGCTGCGCAGAGATCCCGGGGGTGTCTCACTGGATCCCCTGGCTTGGACAAGCTGCCCTAGTTCTACAGCCTGGTTTGGTGTGAGTGTCCTGAAGAAGGATCCTGCTGGGAGGAGAAGGGTTGATGGGAAAAGAAGTTTCAATGAAGCCTTTCTGGGTTTGGTGTGAATATTGGAAAGATCTGCTGAACATTCCTTGCTCCTCTGGAAAAGCCAAAAGAGCCTTCTGAGCACGGAGCTGAGGATGAGCCAAGTGGCCAGAGAAGTGGATGTTGCTCAGAAGTGGACATTGCCCAGCAAGGCAGAATGGGAGATGCGGCGAGGGTTGGAGCCCCTGTGCTGTGTGGAAAGGCTGAGAGAGTTGGGGTTGCTGAGGCGGGAGAAGAGAAGGCCCCGGGGAGGCCTCAGTGCGGCCGGGCAGGAGCTGAAGGGGCCCAGAGGAGAGCTGGGCCAGAGTGTTCAGCAGGGCCTGTGGGGAGAGGACAAGGGGGGATGGCTTTACACTGAAGGAGGAGGACTCAGCTTTGATTTGCTTTAGGAAGATGTTCTTTTGCACTGTGGGTGTTGAAGCCCTGGCAGGGGCTGTTCAGAGAGGCTGTGGATGCCCCATCCAAGGGAATGTTCAAGGCGTGCTTGGACAGGGCCCTGAGCAACCTGGTGCGGTGGAAGGTTGTTCAAGCTTGAAGAAGATGATTTTTAGGGACCCTTCCAAGTCAAACCAGTCCAGGATTCCATCATTCTACAGTCTCCATCCCCCACTGTGGAGTGTCCTTGGACCTCCTGTGACATCCCAGCTGCCAGAGCTGTGCCCGTGTTCCATGTGGAACTGCCAGGGCCCAGCGACGAGCACAACGCAGCCATTCCCCTGCTGCCAGCGAACCTTCAGCAGCTCGCAGCGAATCCCTGTCACCTGGTCCAAGACAACCCTTCACCCTGCTCCAAGAGCACCTTTCCTCCTGCTCCCAGCACCCTATCCTTACGAGCTCCCTGATAGTCCGTCAGTCCGGAACTCTCCCTGCTGACTGGATCTCAGCATCGATCCTGCAGGATGTGCAGTTTTGTCCCAGTGAAGGTACAGTGCCATTCCATGGAGGTGGGCACCCCATGACTACGTGGGATGGCATCCCCTGTGGGGATGGTTTGGGACAGAGACCCCTCTCTGAGGTTTTTCTCCCTTGCTGCAGGGTCAGAGAGACAGTGAGGAAGCCATGGATGTGGACGTGGTGTTAGATATGGAGGAGAGTATGGATGTGGATGTTGAAGAGACTTTGGAAGAGATGGAAGTTGATGTGGTGGACAAGATCGAGGATATGGAAGTGGATGAAGAAGATGAGGTTGAAGACATGATTCTAGGATGAGGAGAGTCCCCCATCAGCAGCAGGTCAGGCCCGCCCTGGCCATGCCCTGCCCCGGGGACAGCGGGTCACCTGCCGCCAGGCTGGGGCTGGGCTGGGTGGCCCCGCTCAGGGACACGGTGCCCCGTGCCCTGGATTGTGGCGGCACAACCCCCAGCCCCGGCCTGCCCTGCGCCTGCTTTGGGCCACACGAGCCCCGTGCCAGCGCCTGGGGCCCGGCTCCCATCCCCAGCCGGGCTCAGGCCTGGCGCCAGAGTCCCGCTGTGCCCAGCGTGGGCCAGGCTGGGGGCACAGGGAACGGCCAGCAGGGCCCGACTGCACTGACCGTGCCCTTGCTTTTCTTGCAGGACTGACGGACGTGCCGGTCATGGAGTGGCACTTTGTACATATGTTTGATATCTTCATCATTGTTTTGTAAATATATTTTATAGGTAATAGGTTTTATTAAGAATATAGGGTTTTTTATAAAGAGATTGTTGGTTTTTTTCTTAAGAAGATTTTTGTTTTTCTAAAGAAGATACTTGTTTTTTTAAGAAGATATTTTTATTAGAAGATTCTTGTTCTTATTAAGAGTGTTTTTTATATTAGAAGGTTATTGTCTTTACTAAGAAGAGTTTTTTAGGAAGTAGCTTGTTGTTTCTAGTAAGAAGATAGTTGTTTTTATAAGAAGATAGTTGCTTTTTTAAAGAAGATACTTATTTTTATTAGGAAGATTTATATTTCTATATAGAAGATTGTTGTTTTTATAGAGAAGATTTTTGTTTTTACTAAGAAGATTTTTGTTTTTATGAAGATTCTTATAATGAAAATATATTCTGTATAGATGTTTACTGTGTTGTTGTTTTATTGTCCTTGTGTAACTCCATTGTCTGGGGGTGCTGGCACGGCCCCCCCGGGCTGGGGGTACCTGTGCCCAGAGGGGTCCCCCTTGGGAAGGTGGCGGCCCTGGGCACTGCTGGTGTTGCTGGGCTGGGGCAGAGCGGTGTCCCCAAGAGCAAAGCTGTCCCCAGCAGAGAGGGGGGTCTGACATGAGCGGCCCCTGCAGAGCTGCCCCAAAGCAGGCAGGAAACCTGACCTCAGTGCCTGGCAAGGTTATGGAGCAGATCATCCTGAGTGCAATCACAGGGCATCCACAGGACCAACAGGGGCTCAGCCCCAGCCAGCATGGATTTAGAAGGGGCAGGTCCTGCCTGATCAGTCTGATCTCCTGGCGGATGAGGGGAAGGCTGTGGATGTGTCTGCCTGGACTTCAGCACCGTCTCCCACAGCACACTCCTGGAAAAGCTGCAGCCACGGCTTGGACAGGGGTACTCTGTGCTGGGTTAGGAACTGGCTGATGGCTGGGCCCAGAGAGTGGTGGGGAACGGTGCTGCATCCAGCTGGGATCCATCACCAGTGGTGTCCCCAGGGATCAGTGCTGGGCCCAAGTTCTATTTAATATCTTAATTGATGATCTGGATGATTTTGCAGATGACACCAAGTTGGGGGGGAGCGTTGATCTGCTGGAAGGCAGGAGGGCTCTGCTGAGGGACCTGGACAGACTGGAGAGTTGGGCTGATTCCAACAGGATGAGGTTCAACCAGGCCAAGTTTGGCCACAACAACCCCCTGCAGTTCTACAGGCTGGGGACAGAGTGGCTGGAGAGCAGCCAGGAAGGAAGGGACTGGGGGTTCTGATTGACAGGAAGCTGAACAGGAGCCAGAGTGTGCCCAGGTGGCCAAGAGGGCCAATGGATCCTGGCCTGGATCAGGAATATTGTGGCAGCAGGACCAAGGAAGCAATTCTGCCTCTGTACTCGGCACTGTGAGGAGCCGTGAGGGGCTGTGAGGGGCCATGAAGAGCTGTGAGGAGCCATGAGGGGCCGTGAAGGGCCACGAAGAGCTGTGAGGGGCTGTGAAGGGTTGTGAGCAGTCGTGAGAAGCCATGAGGGGCTGTGAAGCACCATGAGGGGCCAGGAGGGAACTTGAGGGGAATGAGGGGCTGGGAGGGGTCGGGAGGGGCTGTGAGAGGACATGAAGCATGAGGGGATGTAAGGGGCTATGAGGGGCAGTGAGGGGCCACAGGACCCTGCCTCCTGGCAGGAGGAAGGTCCCTCAATGTTCCTGTATCAAATCAAGGTTGTCATACACCGAGAGTCTTCCTTGACTGAAGTGGCTGAATTAATAGGATTTTGGACAGAAAGCAGAAAAATCTAAGCGTGAGGGCAGGTCCCAGGAACCTGCTCTGCTGGTGGAGAGCAGCTCTCCCTGCCCAGGACACCCTCCCCATCCCAGCCTGGAAGGGCTGGGTTGGGCTCTGAGGCCCTTTGGAGAGCAGCAGATCTGTGCCCCCGGCCGGCTGGTGCAGAAAGCAGAGTGTCCCAGCAGAGTCCCAGTGCTTTGGAGGGAAAAATGGAAAGGGACTGGGAGAAAGGAGGAGGGTGAAAAAAGGGGGGGGGGGGGGGGGGGGGGG